AGTGATATGGATCAATGCGCATGAGCCAAGTGGGTTAGCCTCGGTTTTTCCTCCCATCTTTACTAAGGTTTGTGGAGAACGGGAGGGGGGCAGCATATCCATAGGATAATAAAACTCCTCCCAGGGGAATTTCCCCCGGAAACAACGAAACGCTCCTTCCACCTGTGTGGCCCGCTGACGTTAGAGAAACAAGGTGGGGCCCCCCACCCCGTACTCCGCGCGACGCGCCAGGGTTGTGCGGGTGCCGGGCAGGGTGGCTCCTTACGCAGGTGGTGGGCGCAGCGCAGGTGGAAGGTGTCGCAGCCGTGCACGTGGTGGTACAGAGTCTTCTCGATCAGGTCCTGAGGTTCATACCCCGTCAACTCCGCCACTCTGCCGAGAGCAAGCCCCGTGGGATGAGCGCGGGGTGCGGGGATGCCCCCCGCCCCACACAGCCATCTCAGACCTGGGTACCCACCCTCACTTCGCAGGGTCCGATTAATCGCCTCATCTGCAAAATGGGCGCCTAAGGTCCACGAGGAGCTCCCAGTCGCTGAGCAGGGCCGCCCTGCTGCCAGGGATGGGCCTTTCCCCGCCCTGGCCGCTCACCTGGAGTCCAAGAAGATGAGCTTCATGTCCAGGCTGGCACGGAACATGAACATGTTGCTATGCAGCTTGATCTCCGTGACGGCGCTGGGTGGCAGCGAGTGGCCGACGGCCACCAGGCCCACGTTCTGGTAGCAGCCGTCGAAGGGGGACATGTCCAGGCTATACTGGCGGATCTTCAGGTAGCCGCTGCAATGAATGACCTGCAGCGGAGGGTGCGGGAGTGAGACTCAGCCACTCAATCAGGAAACCTCCCAAAAGGGTGGGGAAGGTATTAAAACCTTGAGCCTCAACTCGGCCTCTAAGGCTTTGTGGGCCACGCCCCCGCACTCAGGTGCCCAAAGTTATTGGTGCTCCAAGGTGTCTCAAGGAAATTACCGTACTGCCTCACTGAACTCACCTGGAGGCTTGTAAAACTAGAGACCTGGGCCCTGCCACCCCTATCGCACTGAATCGCAAAGCGGGGCCCTGGAGCCTGCATGTTTAATCTCATTAAACAGGAGAACACGGATTTTGACCTAAGCTCTGGTTCTTAACCTCTCTGAGGGTCAGAATCTGAAGCCATGAGTAAGCTCCACGAATTCACCCAAGCAACTGACCATTTCAGGCGCTTGGCACACCCCTCAGGCCCATTATGAGCCCCAGATGAAGAGCTTCAGGGGCCAGACCCAGTGAGATTTAGTCTTAAAACGTAGTCCCCAGGTGTTCACAAAGTTCAACGACCCTGGTGATGCGCCCCCTCCTGCGCCGCGTTGACGTGTGCGGGGGACGCCCTCTTCGGCTGTCCCGGCTGCAGGAACGTCCCCGCGTGCCGCTCTCGCCTGTTGTCCTGCCCCCTTCGCCTGCACCCGGTTTAGGTGGCGTGGATCTTCCCTCGCAGTCACGCACCTTGTAGCCTCCGCAGGTGAGGCCGGCGTTCCTCTTAGCCAAGACGCACTTCATCCTCAGGAAGAAGGACCGCTCGATCTCGTACTCTAGGAGAGAGGAGCAGAGGGCAGGACGTGAGAGTGGGGCGCCGCGCCTCGGTCTCTGCCAGGGCTAACTGGGGAAAAGCCACAAGCTGCGATCGGCCCAAGTGTCTCAGGCATGCGCCTGCCTTACCCTGGACAAAGTGAGAGTGGTAGGGCTGATGGGCCGTGAGCACCGCCGTCATCTCGTCGTGGTCCGCGGGGTGGATATATTCATAAATGCTGTTCCCGGTCAGTTCTACCTATAAAGAGGAAGGTATTACCGTCTGCAAGGTGAGGGGAAAGACGGAGCCAGGGGGTCCACAGGACTGTGAGGACAGGAGGCAAAACTCCAGAGTTGGCCCTGAATTCTAATTCCAGTTCTGCTACCTGCTACCTATTGCAGCCTATTTATGCCTCGCTGTCCTCATCTATGACAGGAACCAAATAGTAATTATAATAGTAGCAGTAGTAGCTCCCTGGCAATGTTCTGCTGAAGACGTAAGTATATAACCCGCCTCCCATGCTGTTTGGCTTATGGTAGGGACTCAAAAAGGTCTCCAAGGTTTGGTTTTCGGTTGGAAGCTAAAGGTAGGAGAAAAGGACAGATCCAGACCTCCTGCCAGCTGAGATGTTTCCGGTCCCATAAATGCACATATAAAACCTCTGGGAAAGCCCTCATACCCCTCACCTCCTGCCTCCAACTCTGGCTGTGAACACTGAAGGCTGGAGGTGTGGACCACTCACCTACCTGAGAAAGCCCCAGGTGGACTGAGGCTGTCTCTGAAATGTACATGATCTTCCCATCTGGGGCCACCACAAAGATGAAACCATCCAGGGTCTGGGGAGATAGAAACAGAGTTGAATGGACCACCCTCTGGGCCATGGGGACAAATTGGGTTGGGAGTGGGAGCAGAATTTAGAAATGCTCAGCCAGAAGTACAGAGAGATGAAGTAAAGAGGGGCTGGCAGAAAATAGGGCAAAGAAAACCAGCCATGAGAGTGCCTCTTTTGTTCATTCCAAATTTTTAAGCATCTGGGAAATGCAGCACTCTGCAAGAGACCCAGAAGAATTGATGGACGAGGCTACTTGCCCTCCAAGATTCAGGATCCACTGAAATGGACAAAGCAGATATATCTGTAACATACACACACAAACATTCTGGGGGGCGGGGGATCACAACCTGTTGAAAGAGGTGGGTTAGGTTCTTGGGATAATGATCACCGAAGGAACCAGAGGTTTCTTGGAGGACTCCATAGTGGTAGCATCCTATAGTGGAAAAAGTACTAGCAGGGTTTGGGGAATAGCAGGTATTGGATGATGTGAAAGAGCTGCAGTCTGAAAGTTGTAGACAGAAGGCAGCTGGCCAGTGCGCTGAGCCTGGGAGAGGGGGATTTACAAGATGAGAGGCTTTCTGAGCAGCAAGTCCATAGAGTAGTGCTATAGTGTGATGTGTGTGTGTTTACACTGATGTATCAAACTGACAGGCTCTCCATGAAGGGAAGTCTTAGATTTTCACTGTCCCTTTATCTCTGTGAATGAGCCTTCAGTCAAGGCAACAGAGACATAAGAATGAGTCAGATCCTGCTCTCAAGGAGCTGAAAGTCCAGCAGTGGCCTAAAGACTGGACTAAAGACCTATAAAGGCCACACAGCTGAATAGACAGTGCTGTGGGGGCCCAGAGGCTGAGTGGCCAAAGGCACTGGGAAGAGTCAGAGAGGCCTTAGAGGAGCTGTTTGAGCAGAGCCTTGAAGAGGAGGCTTGAACTGGAGAAAGAAGGGAGGGCATCCCAGGCAGAAGGATTGATGTGGCAAATGCAGAGACTGGGGGGAGGGCACAGCTGGTATATTCAGGTGTGATGATTGGTGTACCAGAGTGGAGCTGAGGGAGTGCACCAGTGCTGGATTTGGGGAGAGTTTGAGATGTCAATAGGAAGACTTCAGAGATGTCTTGCAGGGATCAGGGCTCCAACAGAGGTTTCTAAGCAGGGGAATAGCATGCTTAGATGTGTTTTTTTCTGGCAGATTGCAGACAGTCACCGACAGGAGGAAAGAATGGGGATGAGGAGATCAAAGATGGTCAGCCTGAACTTGAGTGGTCCCCAGAGGGATTGAGAGGAAGAAGAGTCCAAATCAAAGATGGTTCTGGCTGTGGAATTTATGGTGGCAAAAAGAAAAGCTGAGACTGACTTCAGTGGGATTGAGTAGAGGGAGGGTAACATCATTAACCAAGGCTGAAAACTGAGGGAAGCATGGTGAGTTTTCATATGACTGGGAGTCTGGGGGATGATGAGAATGAGTTCTTGTCTTGGAGATGCTAAACTTCACGTGTATGCAGATTTCCATTTGGATGTGTCCAGCTGGCACTAGGAAATAAAGGTCTGGAGCTCAGAAAGGGAATCCAGGCTGGAGAAACCAGCTGGAGCCATGCAAATGTGGAGAAAGGAGTCGAGGTGGTGATATTGGCTGAGATCACCCAGGAGGCCTCGAAGCTGTGAGAGGAGAAACAGAGCTGGAACCTTGGGGAACTGCCAGCATTTATAACAAGACATTGGTGGGGAGATCAGAGGAGCAAGCAGAGAAGGGGAAGAATCCAGGAAAGTGTGCTACTTCAGAAACCTAGGGAGAGGGAGAATGTCAAGTAAGAAATGTCACCTCCATCAGACCCAGATGTCATCTTCTCAGGGAGGTCCTCTGCCATCATCCCCATTTTAAATGGCACCACTGAGACACAGCCATCCTCCTTCCCTTCTTATTTTTCTCCACAGCACCTGCACCACCTGTTACACTACGCAGCGCACCTGTGTGAGTTTGCAAGGCTGCTCTCCTTAGAACATAATAAACTCTATAAAGGCTGGGTTTTCTGTGAGGCACACAGTTGGCCCAGCTATATTTGTGGAGTGAAGGAGGTAAAAAGTAGGATAAGAGATGAACATCTTATGCTGCCCATCAAAATGTGGTGGAGCCCAGCAGAGCACATGGGCTGTGAGAGATGCCAGCCTGCAGAGGTGTGGAAATGAGAGGGCGGGGTGAGTGCTGGAAATTAACAATGTAATTAACTCCTGCCAGAAGTTTGGGAAGAAGAAGAGGCAACGATTGGGCAAGAGCCAGAAAGGGAAAGGGAGTGTTCAGGTTTTGTTCTCCTTTATATTGATGAGGGAAAATAACTGGTACTATGGAAAGATTGGGGGTGGGGGTGGGGTGGAATCAGTGGTTGAGAGACAACTATTGAAGTTGTCCCTGAGAGGGGGAGGGCAGTGCCTTTCTAGTGAAATTCAAAGGTATGGAGGCCAGGCCTGTGAGGGAGTACTCGAACAAGGCCTTCCTTTACTCTATGAAACGAAAATGTCTGGCCTCTGGGATTGAGGGAGGGGTCGGGGTAGCCACGGAACAGAAAATGTCGCGGCACTCCTGCCATGGGATGCTGCTAAGGCCTGGCCCACCAGGGAGAACTGGCTCAGGTTCCCCCATGCTGCCTGCTTAGGTTTGAGGCGCTTACATAAGGAGCCCACAGTGGGCTTGAATAGTAAAGGGATGCAGGGTGGGAGACAAGTGTCAAGCCTAAAAATGCCACCGGGAGCTTTACTATTTTAAATATTTGCTAGGCGACTTAAGCGGGCAACGGGCAATTTAAAACGGTGTACACTGCAAACAACGCGGTAATGGGCGCCTGCACGCTGGATAAACTCATTACCTGGGGTTGGTGTGTGTGTGTGCGCGTGCGAGTCTGTACACGGCCTGGGCCGGCCTGGGGTGACAGCGTGTGGAGAGAGAGCAGAGAGCCCGGGAATACAGAGAGGAGATGAAACGAGTTGCAGACGCAGCTGGATCCGGAATGCATGAGCTTAAAGCATTGACGGGCATTTCTACCAGATTCCCCTTATTTCCTGTGTAAATCCTTCATTTCGGACGGTTTTGCAGCCCGGCCTCGGCAGCTTAGCCTGGGGGCGCTTCGAATGGTGTCAAATGGCGCCCCCTCCCTGGGTTCAGCCGTTCTGATTGGGGCCTTTTGGGGCTTCCTTCCAAACCCAACGTGCCGATTATCACCTTCCCTCCCTCTCTCTCGGTCTCTCCAAACGCCATCCGCACCCAGCGAGGTTAAGAGCTAAACCTTTTAACTTTGGAGAAACCGTAGGTGGCTGCGACAGGGCAACGTCCGGACCGGATCCCATTTTTCTGGGAAACAAGAAGCCAGGCGCGGGGCCAGGCGCAGGGATTCTCCAAGGATGTGCGCGGCGGGGAGGTCCGCGCCAGTACCTGGAGCAGATGCGAGCCCAATTCACGGCCAACATTGTCCAAAGGGCTGGTCCGACTCGAATGGCCCCACGCCTCGCCGAGCCCTGTGGAGACAAAGAGACGTCCTTTAGTGATGGGACTTCGACCAGGCTGGCCGTGAGACTAGTCTCGGGTTCATGGTGTACACTCAAGCTCGCACACACGACCAGATACGATCGGGAATCCCCCACCCCCCACCCCACCCCTGGACAGCAAAAGGATGGGAGCAAGTAAATTTCGGCCCTGCCCTCTCAGCCTCTAAAGGGTTGAACAGAGGTCAGACTCCTTCTCCCAGAAGGGCCGGCAGGGCCTGGCTAACCGTTCTTGTAGCAAGACCCCAAGTGGCCGAGTTTGAGGACAGCCTTGCCTGAAGGGACCCTCGACACTGCACCCCAGAGATAACTATTGTGCAGTTTCACTAGTGTGCTTAGAGGGGTGAAGGACACTTTCTCACCCAAAGTTTCATCATCCTTATCACGAGGTCGAGGATGTCCACACATCCAGTGAATGTCGCTGCCCTGCCGGGAGTGACCTGTGGCGGGGGGTCCAGCTGGTTCCTGGTGGGCTTTCTGATTGGCTGCGGGGCTCTCCAGCCATTTTCCTCCCCCGGGCCTCTGACTTTAATCCCCTTCGGAAAAATCCGTTTGCTTGCCATGACTTCCAGCAACAGCATCCCGGCGCAATCCTTCTTCCATCTGCCTTTTCCCTCCTAGTCTCCGCCTTTCACATCCTAACCTCAACTCCCCCCTCCCACCCCATTCCCCAAAAAGCCCTCACAAGCTTTTGTGAAGTCATCTACTTTTAGGTGCTAACACTGTTTTAGCAATATTTTCATGATCTTCTGGATTAGAGAACTATTCCGTTTCTCTACTTTCCAGGTATCAACTGTTAACAAAGGCAGCCCTTTCTTCTCCTTGATGCTACCACGTAAAGGTCTTTCCAGGCTTTGCCACAAATAATTTTTCCGGTGATGCCTAAAAAATTAGAATTCTCAGGATGCCCATGACTGGTGTTTTAAAAATTAATATGGAACCTGCTAAAGTACCTGTTTACAGAAAGAAAATGAAAACTAAGGCAGAGGGAACTTGCACTACCCAGATTAAACTACTTACTGGTAATATCTTTTAACAGTGTTGCTGCTGAAATTAATTTAACTAGGTAAACTCTTTTATGCTTACATAATTAAACAAGATTTAACATGACCAAAAATGGGGGGGGGTGATTTACTGATTTACTGAGGTACGGGTCAAATCACTATGAAGTACGCAATGACAAACACTTGCATTGTAATATGGGGCTGGAGGCGGACCTTTCAGAATGAAACATGGAGTGGGACTCTTAAAATGTGTTGGCCAGGAGCTGCTTCCTGAGCAAACGATCAAAACCCTGGTAACGAGTAACCGTGAGCGCCCCTTAAGCTCAAATCGGGTCTTTCTGGGTGTTTGTACATCTAAATAAATCTAACGATTTCCCCACCGCTCTGCAAACACTGATGCTCCCGCCCGCGCCGGGACTTCTCTCCCTCCCTTGCGTCTGGTCAACCCCTTCTGACTCTTTAGCCCGCCCCAGTTTCCCTCCCCAGAGTGGCTCCACGGCCCTGAGCCTTGTTGTTGTCCTCCTGGACCTTTCGGGAGAGCCTCTGCCACAGCTGCCTGTACACACCCCTTTGCCTAGTCACCTTCCCTTCGCTCCTCCTGTCTCCGCTAAGCTCTCCTCCTCGGTTTCTGACTGTGCTCATTTTTTTCATCCCCGCTCGCACATACCCACCAGGAAGAAGTGGCGGGCGGGGTTGGCTATGGAGGCCGCCCTGGGGAAAGGGGGAGAGGATCCCGATGGGACAGCCGGGGACGCGGACGGCGCTGGCCCTTGGACGCCGTGGGGCCAGGCGAGGCTTGAAAGCCCAAAGCGTCGCGGGATGGAGAGGCCGGAGCGCTCCCCGGCGCGCGGGGCTGGCCGAGGCCACGTTGCGTCTGGAATCAGGTCTTCCTCAGGGTGCAAAGCCTACGCTTGGGGCCAACAAATGTCTTTATTCTAACATTATGAAGGTCCCCCAAGGCGTCTGGAAGACGCCCGGGATTGGCCTCCCGACCCGAATCATCTGAAAATCCCCCAAGCTGGGCTGGGGTTAAGTACTGGTTCCGAACTCCCGGCGCTCGCCTGGACTGTTGGTCTCGGGTTGCGGCCTCATTAGTATGCGAATACCCGGGGAAAAGAAGGCTTTCCCGCAGGTTAATAAACGGCCCGCCGGCACAGGTTAACAGGGGCCTCCCTCGCCCTCTCCCTGCACCCCACCTCCCCGACCTTTTAAGGAACCTTTTGCTTTCACCGAGCGTTGCCTTCTCTTTTTGTTCCAGGTCGAAATCTCCGTCACACGGTTTTTGTCTGGGTTAATGTTTTATAAGGGACTGGCAGCCCTCGTCTACCTGCCGGGCTTTCCTGCCCTCATGCCAGGTCTGAGCTCGCCTTTTAGCCGGCTCAGAACACCTCCTGAAACCGGGTCATGAGTTTCGTCTCCGAAAATCCGGGAGTGGGCCAGAGACCCCTCTCCCCGGCCCTCCTCACCTCCTGCCTGCGGTGACGCGCTCCCGCACCCAATTTCAGTTGGCGAGGGGGGTTAGCTGAGATTTCGTTTCTGCACTTGACCTACCGCAGAAAATTCGCAAATCCTTTGATTGTCTGTTTAAAATGAGGAGGAAACCAGCTCCCTTTGCGGCAGGATTACAGTGGGAACAAGATCTAAAGATTCTCTTGTAATTCGGTGAGGCCGAGGGAACAGGGTTTTGCAAAGGAGAAAAGGAGCTCTGTGAGGGAGGCGATAACTAAATCGGGTTTTAGACAAAAGGATTTTCCCCAGCTAAAGTGGCCGAAGACAAAGGAAAACATAATCTATTTTGGAAGATTTCCAAGATATGCTACATTAACCTTAGCAGATAAATTTTGCTTCTCCCCGCCCCTCTCTTCCCTTAAAGTCTGGTTTATCATATTTACATAAGTAGTATTACAAGGGATGTATCTATTATGGATCTAAAGGGCTAGCTCACATTTCATGTGAAAAGCCGGGCGAAGTTTCACTGTTGCTTTACCCTCGGTGAGCAGTGGAGCCATTTCCATTTAAATACCCCCTGACCCAAGGATTACCTCAATGGACTGACTGCACGGGTTTTGTAATTTCCTGAAAATGAGATTTCGATTTATAAAACAAGAAACCAATTAGTAACCAAATGAGGCGAAGTAGATCCACTAAAATTGACCTAATCCCACAGGCACAATTTAGTCCCGTTCTTGGCGAATGAATGATGAGCCCCAGTCTAGCGTGAGCTCAAAGCATCATCCAGCTGTGTTATTGCAAGCAGCAAAAATAAATTGATCGAGCTTTTCCTTCGGAATGAATTTCATACCCTTGACAAAATATAGATTACAGACCCAGCATCATCGCCTCCTTCACTCAGACAGGAAGAGGAGGAAGAGAAAAGCTTCTACCGTTTTTTTTCTTTCTTTTAATAAACAAACACTATATCTCAATAGAAATGTGTCGTTCTTGTAGCCCTTCCCGGGGAACCTTCATCTCCCGGATAGATCGTTATGTGCCTTTTAGGCAACGTGGTGGGGGCTGGAGGAGCTTTCCTATGGCCTGACCACAACTTGGTGATTGAGGCGGGGAATGACATCCAAGACGGCGCTCCTAACTTCGGGTCCCGAAGGGACTTGTCTTAGCCACCTGGGTTTTCCACCGCGCCGGGTTTCCTCGCTGAGTGTACACACTGTCCAAGCCTTTCCCTGGGCCCAGCAACCAAGGACTTAGGGCTCCGGGAGCCTCTGCGGCTGCGCCCTTGGGGTAGAGAGGGATGAAGGTTGGGCGCCCTGAGCCGAGACAGAGCTCCCGGAGCCGCGGCTGAGTAGGAAGGAGGCTGCCTCGCGCATCTAGACGCACCGATCCCCCACCTCTGGCGCTGGGACCCGCCTCACTCGCGGCCGCCTTCGGCCACCTGGCGGGTGTGGCCGACCCCTCAACGGCGTCGGTGGCCCCGAGGGGCCAGGCTCTGTCCTGCTCGGCAGCCTGAACCTCACATGGTGTGTCTGTACTTGGCAAGGCGGTGTGTGCCCTGCTCTCTCCTGTCTGCCTCGGGCACCCCCGCAGGCTCCCGGGGAATCCACTCAAGTTAGTGTAAATCTGAGGTGGAGACTCTCAGCGCCCTTGTGCTCTGGCCCCTTAGCTAGGGCTCCAGGGTCAGGAGAGAGCCTGCGGGCCAAGCTGGCTTTGGGCGCCCGAGCCCACCACAAGAGAATGCAAAACTGCAGAAACCAGGACAGGTGGGGTCCAGCCAGGTTCCAACGAAACCGTGGGACAAAAATGCACGCGGACTTGACAAGAGTGTCCTGCATGGCAGCTGAAAGGGGTCAAGCGGTGTCCGCAAGACGTTGGGCCATAGAATGTGGCCAGGCGGGGCGTTGCCACGGTCCCCAAAACAGGCGCAGGCGAGACCGACGGGGCTGCCAAGCGGCTCAGGCGTATCCCATGTCGGTTCTAATAGTTGGCTATCGCGACTTCAATGGCTGCAAAACGGCCCGCTTGGGCAGGATCTCGTCTTAAGGTTTAGACGACTGCGGGTCCTTGGGACAGTGGCCCGGGCAGCATGAGGGACGGCGGGCATACAGGGTAGGCGCGGGGAGATGTCCTCGAACACTGGGCGGGCAGAGACCTGGCCCAGCGGAGAGTGAGGAGACACTGTGCGGAGGCCGCGAGCCAGCGCACCCTCCGCTGCGGCCACCACAGCGAAGGCGGCCCGGGTCTGCTGCTGCGACCGCGGGGAGAGAATGGGTCACACCGCGCGGACCTGGCGGGTCGGCCGCAACATCATGCTTGTCCCCTCGGAGTGCTTCGGCCTGTGCCCGAGGCGCCGTAGAGGCTTCGACAAGGTTGCTATCCCTAGTCAGGTCAGAGCCACCAAGATCGAACGACTTCGCGCAGGAGTTGCCTGCTCAATGGGGCTACCTGCGGAAGAGGGTGTGCTTCGCAGTTCTCAGACACGATTTTAGTACTTTCTGATTAGCAGGCCCAATTGCT